TACATACAATTTACATTTGTGGTTTAAACGGGCGGTTATTTTTTTGTACAAGTATTCATGGACGTAGCCAGGTTCTCATTTAGGAGGAGGCAAGAGATCTTTGGTACCGCTTGATAATAAATACGTCTCCAAAAAAAAAATACGACAAAATAAGAGCTGCAAAATAATTGATAACTATCGTCTAACAATTTTAGATATAAACAAGTTTTGGGAGAAACAGATTTGGCGAGAACAAAAAATAATACGTAATAAACCATAACTTTCAGTCAAAATTATTGAACCGGAGCTCCAACATGAGCTTTTGGTGTTTATTAATAAAGTAAAAATCTTTACCAAAAACGCATTTCAACCAAAGACAGAAAGAATGAAGATTTGGCTTTAAAAATTATAAAATAAAATAAAAATTATTTTCCTCGAAATTTTTCATCATAAAAAAGAGGTATTACTACAAGTATTTCACCGACAGGACTTTTTTTTAATATCAACGATCTCAGTTCTGGTATAATTCAGAAAAGACGTGCAAACATTTATTAAGTAGTAAAGACAACCCAACAAAAGATGTTAATATATTATTTTAATGGGCACAATATTGTTTTTTTGTTCCCGCCATCTTGCTTACCCTCCCTTGGTACACCCATGCAGGCATTTCAAATAAAAAAATATAGGTGGGGAGTCAACAGTAATCAATTACTCATTTCATCAAAAGTTAAAAAAACATTTCAATCCAAATTATGTAATTATTTGATATAAATAAAATATGCAAATATTCATCGTCTGTAAAGGTTTTTTTTAATAATTGCTGCTTATCTCAGTAGCGAATATTTTAAAAATTGTGTGGAGTTTCTTTTTAATTAATTGAATGGTTTTACCTATTTGTTTGAGCTTAGGAAATGGGTAAACAAACACAAACTTCCTGTTATTAATTACTTCGACCTCAATAAAAAAGTGCTTTATATAAGTGCTCTTATATATGACCACAAATATTTATCAATGCATCAACCAAAATTCCAGCATTACATTTAATTGAATGTTAGTACGCTAAAGATTTTGCGGTCACAATAAAATGATTAATGGAATTGTGTGCTGTGGGAAACGATTTACATATACATGTGGGACTGCCCTGACACAAAAATAAATACAGCAATAAATATTTATATGCTATAGTATATGGGTGCAGGATTCAAATACTATATATATATTATTTTATCTGTGATCAGATCTATGACCTATTTAATGATTTGAAGATGACGTCAAGCAGCAACTCCATAAATAGGCAGCTTTTAAGGTACTCGTGTATAAGAAGGTCCTCGAACGAGGTGGTAGGATGTTATATCCTGCGACGAATAACAAAGTTGACGACGCCGTCGAACATGTGCTTTTAAGAATCCTGTATACTGCAATGTATCCTGACAACCAAACTGCTTCAGATGTCAAGTCCTGAGTACCATCATGCTTACGCATCAACACCTTTGTTATATTCTTATTTTCCTATATAAGTATGTACGAGACACACAACTGTCTGTATTCCGACTCTTATAAATATGTCAACATCTGCTTACGTTTTCGTCATTCTTTTTATAGTACATACACATACTTGCTTCTACTAGTATGTTTAAAATAAGAAGTCATGGAGTTGTGACTACGCTTCACATGCTCATGTCTGAACATATTTAAATTTGATATTCATATGGTATCGGCATTCTTAAAAATATATGAGTGTGTATGTGTGTGTGTGTGTGTCAACAATAAAAGTGCAGTCACACTCTTGTGCACCCAAACAAGTTCAGCTCGACAAAAAGAAGTGCGGCTGTCAGTACACTTGTACGTGTACTTTATTTATTTATTTATTTAAATGTGCTTAAAGAATCGACGTTAAGTGCAGCCGATGAAAATAAATTATTAATTATTTCTCTGAATGAATTTTTCCTTTTTACGAATTATGAGTGGTGGCCAACATTTCCATGATATAAAAATCCAGTCAGCATTCCTGCATCTTAACCAATAATTGCCGCTGTGGTTAATAAATAGGCTGCTTCATTCAACTTATTTGTATTCAACGTCGAAAACTCGTCACAAAAAAATGCAGCACAAAAATAATTTTCAATTATAGGCTGTCAAATTTATTAAAAAGAATACTTCATCATTACTATTGCTTCATTTTTTGCGTTAAGTTCTTAAATCGCACTGCCATAAATTTCATCCACTTGATCACGTTATTGTTACATGAGGCTATTTTTTATGTATTTCGAAGTATTGCATGTACATATATAGTATATTGATGAACTCCTTGTTCGGTCACTGATTTCTCAAATATTTTTTTTAAAGGCGCATATTAATTAATTAATTGACAGTGGTGGGAGTCCCACACTAGAACTCTTAGTTTTTATTGCACGTATAGAGGCGGGCAAAGTGTCAATTAAATAGTTAATTGCATTTTAAGAAGACGGATTTGCATTATTCATTGTATTATAAATAAGTTTTTTAAAACGGCCGGAAAGGCCATGCTGAAAATCTTATGCAACAACATTGACGGTTGAAATATATAAGTATTGTTTTTTCAGACATCAAATATGAAAATTATTTCTACTACTGAGGTTTTTCTTATACGGATTATACATATGCTTCTTGTTTCTACAATAAACTTTTTGCAAGACAAGGGGCTATTTCTGAAACTATGTGAGTTGGATGAATTTTTTTGCTTTTCAAATTTAGCATTGAAACGAATTTCAGTATCATATATTCTATGTATTGAGATAGTTGCAAAAGAGTATAGTAAATAGCCAAGTGAGAAACGCGAGAGCTGATGGAGCAGAAGTCTTTAAGAGAGAACAATAATGTAAATGTAAATTATACAATGTAAATTGATTTAAATTACTCATTAAAATAATATTAATTATTACATGCAAACAGACAAAATGAATATTTAACATTTTTAACTACATCTACATTATAAATTAGACTATTGAAAGTAATAATGGTACGTGGTCTCTGGGTCATTTCAATTTCTACGAGAAACTGAAGATCACATATATTTATCTAGAAATGTCTACATCGTACATGTCAAAAAACTCAATATATTTATAATTAAATTTCAAAAATCGACATTTTACTCTCAACCCGAATCAATTTGTTCTCCTCCTCCAGACTTACTGTTTCGTACCCAAAAATTATAAATATTGTATTTAATAAAATATTTTCAGATTAAGGGGACTATAAAAGTTGGGCGTAATCGAATTTAGCAATTTATTCATGTTTCTAATTGGCTGCGTACATTTAAGCAATTATTTATATTGGCACAATAGCTTAAATGGTTTTAGGGGAAATGTGTTTGGAAATCCTCAATAAATGCCTTATTTAATGCGAGTTTTTATTTAAGTCATTAGACAGTTTACCATCAGCCTGTTTTGAACGAATACTTGAAACATAAATACATAAATACACACAAACAGTGGGGGAAACCATATGCCCGCAAAATATGTTGTTGCAAAATATAATTTCGAAACCACTAGACAGAATGAGAATAAAACGACAAAAAGAAATAAAAGGCACACGCTAAACAAGCGTTAAATAAATACGCGTAAATGAATTCAAAACAAAAGCCAAAAGTGGCGAATTGTAAACAAGGATACAGGGAGCCCATTCCCAGTAATAACGGCAGACAAACGGCATGCCATTTAATTTTATAGTTGTCGGGCTGTATGTGTGCGGGTATGCTAGTATTGGTGCTAACGAAAGTGTGTGTGAGTGTGCATGTATATTAGCCATTTAATCGCTAGCACGCGTTAGTTTATGGTTGGGTTTTTCATCAGGCATTTCCTGTTGCGCAAAACAATACAAATTCACACATATACAGTACATACATACATAAAATACGTGCGATGATGAATGAAAAGTAAAACAAGAATAGACGGTGAAGGATAAAGTGTGCCTGTGTGAAATGAGGGACACGTACGGAATTAATTGCCCTATGTACCATTAACATTCAATTTCTATCGCTTGATCGCATTGGGAATGCGGACATGACACGCTTAGAATTTCAACTTGTAAATAAATACAAATCCATTGATCTACAAGTATGTATTTACGAGTATGCTCGTCTGTCTTTGTCATTCTGACGTGTTTTCATTTTGAAATGGCCAGTCGATAGCACAAAAACTCATTTTAATGAAGTTTAGTTTCGCTTCCAGCCATTCAAAAGCCAAACGCCAAAAGCAACGATTGATGAATGCGGCGAACCTAATTGAGTTTTTCCATCCAGAACATCCCCACACTACTACTAGCTACTACTACTACTTTACGTACATACATAGTTATTTCAACTACATTTACAATTGCATTACTGCCACATTACGTATACGACTAAACTGAAACTGAAATGAAGCGGATAATGCGCTTTACAGGGCATTTGAACCATGTGATATTCAGGCTCGGGCTCAGTCTGTCAATTCATGTGACTAATTGAAGCTTTACATTACTCATTTAATACGTATGCCACACATTTGGAAATGTTTCAGTCAATGCGTACATCACTTGACTATGATTTGGAAATAATATTTTGGCCGTACCACCGATGCGACCAATACTATTACGAAAATATAATTATTCGCACAACTCCATTTTCAATTGCTTCTTCCAAAAATTAGCTCGTGTTTTTGTGAAATCAATCAAATAATGTAAGCACGTGTCCATAATCCCTACTAAGAGTCTACTTACCAAGTCTGGTATGAATTCCGGCGTTAATTCAAGCGCACGGGCAGACTGTTATGTTTTAATCGATTTGGCATAGTCGCGCCAGTCTACTTACAATAAATGCAAAAAAATTACAAAAGTGAGCAGAGGATGAAGTTTAAAAATGTATTATAATAACATAATAAGCCGGCTACCCACCCCAAGGACAACTTTTTGGTAAACTTTGCATTCAGGCGCAAAATAAATTCAAAATTGCATCCTCTTTTGATGCTCTAAAGTACAAATCAAAATAAAATTAAACTGCGTCCCTGTCTATTTTCCATTTTAACGATTAATTTTGTTTAATTTTTAACGTACCGTCGCAAGAAATAAATACTTGAGTAATACAAACTTTTAATGCTTAAAGGATTTATGTGCGATCATGCCTCTTGTGCCTGAGGTTTTGTATGACAATTAAAATAAAATCTGATCCCAGAGTGATGAGCACTTCACGTGATTCGGAACGCATGCGCAAAAATGTGACGTCATCGGAGGGATCCAGATCGCGCACCACGTTGCGAGCCATTGTTACCAGGGGCTTCAGCATCGAAACATAAAGATTACAGCGCTTTGTGGGAACCGTCCATCGAAGTGGCTTGCCATGGGAGTCTGTTACGATAATTTCGCGAGCGCCTCGTGAAGAAAAGTGCTTAATAAATGTATCCCCATCGTAGGATTTTTCCCGTCTTTGTGAATAGAATTTTAATCACTAGATAATTCATAATTCTGATGCTTTTACTTACGGTACTTCCTTTTGCGAATGACCATGGGATTTTCGGGGTGTCGGCGTTAACTGATGCGCCGAAGAAGCTGATGCCGTTGAATGTAACCTTGAATCACCCATTTCTATTAAATTTGCACTTTCTAGTTCTGTATGAAAATGGGATATCTCTGAATTTCTCAGTGATTGTTTCGAGCTGAGCTGTTGAAAGCAACTGAATTTTAACTTGACTGCTTTTCACACACATACCTTGTTTGCTTCTAATCATAAAAAAAATTGCTCATTTATTATAAGTGTCACCAAAAATAATTTCTATAGCTATTTTTCTGCAATAAAAATGTTACTTGCGCTTCGAAACAATGCTTGTTTTCTCAGTTGAAAATATCTAATAGAAACAAAAGATAGAATGTTTAGAATAATTGTACTATGAGTAGCACTAAAAGACACATATGAAATTGGTTATGAAAGAAAAACAGTTGGTGGGTTATCCAACATTTGGCTTTTACTGAAAAATGAGCGATTTTAAAATTGGAATTTTTTGGATTTTAAGGACAAAGAAAAAACAAGAAAGGAATGCTAAAGTCGAGCAGGCTCAACTCTTAAATACCCTGTACCACCCCACAAAAAAGTATTTAAATTAATTAATTAATTTAATTTAATTAAATTAATTAACTAAATTAATTAAATTAATTAACTAAATTAATTTAATTAATTAACTAAATATTAACTAATTAAATATAAAATATTCCATGCATGCATACATACATTTACATTTACATCAGAATCGTGCCTTATGCGTGTTTGTGTACTTGTACATATGTATATATGTGTGCATTGGGCCTGGTTATATGGCTATAACTTTCTTTCCGATCATTATATCATAATGATCATATCACTTGGTATACGGATATATAATTACTAACCTAATGTGACTACCAAATTTTAGTTCAAAATTCCAAGAATTACGGGAGTTATAGAAAATCGTTAATAGAGGGGGAGTGGGGGGGGGTGGGTCAGAAAAAATGAACAAACTCGTCCTTTCTCGGTCTCAGGAGAATCTGTATACCAAGTTTGGTTATTCTAGCTCTTATACTTTCGGAGATCCTTGCGTTCATACAGACAGACAGACGGACAGACAGACGGACAGACGGACAGACGGACATGGCTATATCGACTCGGCTTGTCATGCTGATCAAGAATATATATACTTTGTGGGGTCTACCAAGCCTCCTTCTGTGTGTTCCATGTGCACTCGCACAAAACTAATATACCCTTGTACCCTTTGGGTACAGGGTATAACAAAACTAATATACCCTTGTACCCTTTGGGTACAGGGTATAAAAAGAAATTTACAGCTCTGGTATTTAGTACAAAGGCTGCATGCGTATATGTATCCAAGAACTACGTAGTTTTAGTGCCTGTGTTGTACCGGCTTTACAACCAGTTATGATTGTCGATTTAATTGGTATTAGATTCTTCTGTAAGCTCCGTTAAATATCATCACAGGATTGGCGTTTTTTCACAACAAATCTCTTGAAATCTTTTGAGAAGTGGGCGTGACAAAAAATTTACATGATTTTAGTATTTTTGAACTTGAGGTAGATAATACCTTTAGGCATTCTTTCGAACTTAAAACATTTTTTTAGCACTGAAATTTTGGGTTTTCCATTACTCGACATTTTTGTGAACACAAATAAAGAGTTCACACAAACTTTTTGTAGTTGTTTGTGCAAAACATTAATCCAGGAAGGCTCAAATATAGTATTTCTATAATTATACATTTTTTTAAATGGCCAATGATTTGATCCGACTGAATAATTAACATTCGAACTGTTTTCAGCTTCGTTGGCACTTCATTTTGCCAACATCAACATTTAACTGTTGAATTCTCGAATATGTTTTCCATTCTTGAGGTGTACTTGGATTGGAGCTCCCATTTATTTGAATGCTTTTGGCGGAGAAAGGCGTTTTCAAACAGTTATTGGTTTACAATTGTATTTTATTTGGCAATCGAGTACAAAGAAAAAGCGAAGCTTGTATATTGGTAGACCAGCACAAATTTAATAACTCTTGTTTGTATTTTCAATAGAGCACGCTTTGAACATTGTACGAGTTGTTCGCAGAGATGATACGATTTTAAAATTAGCAAAGTACCACTCCTTACATAGTACTAGCAGATGCGGGTATACGGCCGCGGAGGTACTCCATAATTGCGGCGGTACCTTGGGACAAGATCTGGTGGCGAGGCTGTCGAAATGGATTGCCAGTTAGTTTCAGACGTTTAATGTTCGTCAAGTTGCCCAGAACGGGTGGCACAGTATCAATATCATTATTGCGCAGATCTAGCGTTATGAGACGCTTTAGGCCGCCTAAGCCCGATTCGCTAGCATTTAGCTCCCTTATATGATTATCGTTGGCCAACAGCACTTCCAAATTCTGCAGCTCTCCTATGCAAAGAGGCAGCTTGTCGAGGCGATTATGCGAAATGTCCAACTCACACAGCATTTGCAATGCCCCAAATTCGTTGGGCAAGTTTCGCAGCAAATTGCAAGAAAAGTTGGCAACCGAGAGGCGTGAGAACTGCGAAATACATGCTGGTATGAAGGCAATCTGATTCTTGGCTAGCACAAGCTCGGACAACTGGTCGGAAAGGTGCTGGAGTCCACGCGGCATGTGATGCAGCAGATTTCCCTCAAAGTTGACGACAGTGACGTGTTCGGCACGAGCTGTTTCTAGCAAATCATCCGGCACCTCCTCCAGCTGCGCCTTCATGACGGACAGGACACGTGTGTTGCGCATCGTATATTTGTCTGGTATGCATATGGAATTATCTTCGAGAGCATCCTTTCCACCCTGCACACGAGGACTGTTCAGGCCGTCGCCCACCATTCCTTCCATTAATTTTGAATCGAATGAAATGTCTTAAAAACTAAGACAAATTTAATAGTATATGTTGAACAACAAAAATAACTGCTATGTATATGTGTAGACACGACGAGGTGATGAATGGAACTGAGTAATAGGTTTTTCTTTGTAGGTGTTTGTGTGACTGCATTTTCAAGGAATGCTTCTTTATGGTCAAATAAATATGATTTACAAGTATATTGAGGATTGTTTAATTTACAGCCGTCTTTATTAACTTATTCTTTAATTGAGAATTAATTGTGTGTTTGTCCGTCTGTCTGTCTGTCTGTATGAACGCAAGGATCTCAGAAAGTATAAGAGCTAGAATAACCAAACTTGGTATACAGATTCTCCTGAGCCCGAGAAAGGACGAGTTTGTTCATTTTTTCTGATCCACCCCCCCCCCCCCCCACTCCCCCCTATTCGTTATTCTCTATAACTCCCGTACTTTTTGAAATTTTAAATTTGGTAGACACATCCACTTAGTGATTATATATCCGTATACCAAGTTTCATTATGATAGGTTGATCGGAAAGAAAGTTATAGCCATATAAGCAGGCCCAATGCACACATACATACATATGTACAAGTACACAAACACGCATAGACACGATTCTGATGTAAATGTAAATGTATGTATGCATGTATGGAATATTTTATATTTAAGTTAGTTAATTCATTTAGTTAATTAATTTAATTATATTAATTAATTAATTTAATTTCTTTTTTGTGGGGTGGTACAGGGTATTTAGGAGTTGAGCCGACTTTAGCATTCCCTTTTAGTATATATTTTAGTTTTAGTTTGTATTATAAAAGGGAAATGGTGTGCTATTGCACAATGTTTTCAAGCCAAGCGCACACCAGAAATTTTCTCTCATGACACATTAAAGATTTGGATGTGATCTGAGCAGCATCCGGAAAGTTCTACAGTACACCGCAGCCTTTCATAACAACTAGGTCGTGCGGCTTAGCCAAATGCGATGTGGCGTCCTGGATGCGCTCCAGCAGCTGCAGTCCCTTGCGTATCTTGCCAAACGCGATGCGCTTACCATTCAGAATGGAAAGTGGCTTAAAGCTAATGGTAAAGTTGAGGGCGGTCCGGGAGCTGCCTCGCACATAGCGACTGGGAAAGGACAATATTCCCGCGTCGACGCCGTGGTTCAGCACCTCGAAGTCATGCTCGATATGAGACATGTCGAGGGTGCGATCCGAGTCGAGCGCAACCTTCCCCTCCAGCCAGATGGGCGCAAATGTGCGCGTGAAACAGATGCGTCGGCTCTCACGCAGGGTGCAGAGACGCATGAACTGTAGCACCACCTCGGGACAGGCCTCCGTGAAGAGCTGTATGGCCAATCGTCCATGGACTCGAGTGCCACGAACCTCCACATCAAAGTAGACCTGCGGACGGAGAAGTTTGCAGAGCATTCCCACGTCACACTTGGGCATCAGTTTCTCGTAGCGATGCAGTACGTGCATGGGTATCTCGTAGGTGAAGGGCTTGGTAGCGCCTTTTCGGGATCGCGACTTGCCGACGTTTGGATCGAAGAGGCCGCCGCCTTGGTACAGTTTCTTGTTCTGCTCCTGCTGCTTGCGTTCCTTCTCGCGTGCCACGTTGGTGTTGCGCCAACGGCCAGCGGCCAGGCGCTCCGGGGACTTGGTGAAGGTGCGCAGTGTATTGTTACTCTTCCGATAGAGAGCCGTCAGCATTTCCATGTAGGACAGCTCCATGTGGTTGCCCTCGATCTTGAAAGTGGGAGCTGGCAGGTTTGTGTTCACCTTGCCCTTTATATTGGCCATGCGCTTGCGATGCTGGCGATAAAGCTCCCGCTGCTCGTTCATGACCACGTGGGACTTGGCCTTGGGCAGCTGCTGTTCGGGAGTCATCACTAGGTGTTGGTAATACTTATGGTTGTTTTTGAAGGCCTTCCGGTCAATGTTTATGACATGCTGCTGCTGCATCGGATTGCCCTCAGCCGGATTGTTACGTTGGTCGAAGGCGCTAGGTACTGGATTGCTGCCATAGACCGGATTTGTCAGTGTGTAGAGTCCCCGCTTTACGGCGGCCAGATAGGGCAGTGCATTCTTGTGGACGAGCATGTTTCTTTCCCGTCCAGTGTTGCGCGAATCTTCTCTAATAAACATTCTTCTGGAGTTTACTAAATTATCGAAAATTAAAACTTGAATTTTTCCGGTAGTTCAGTTTCGAACTGGCAACTAATCGAGAAAACAACTGAATTATGGGTATGACAATAGAAACTGACTTTGTTGGCCCCGACTACCCGGTCAATTTCAATTTTGCTGCTCATAATTCGATAATTAACCAACCAATGGCTCTTCTTTAGATACTGCAGACTGGCAGCCAAACGGAAAATAGAAAGCAATCATGCGGCAAAACTTCTACGTCAAATGAAAAACAAAAGCTACTGACAACATTGCAGCGAGCATGATTGCGCTGAGTTTCAAATAAAACGATAGAAATAGCAGACCGCAGGAGCGTCGATGCGTATACACAACCTGAGGACAAATGCAGTGTATTACATGGAACATAGAGATAAACGATATTCCAAACAAAAAATATACCAGTCAACCCAAACTGGCAGACAACCGCAACAATAAAAATAACAACTGCGTGTGTTGATATCCTTCAAGTTGAAAAGAAATCAGCCAGCAGGCAAAATCAAAATAATAAACCCGGCGAGCTTGCCGCTTGGCATATTTGATTGCCAAATGTTCAATCAATTGATTGCGAAATTCCATCGCAGGTCCAATTGGCCAGCAAAAATATTTCAGTTTTCATTTGAGCAGCACAATCTAAAGCTTCAAGAACTTGTATTTTAATAGCACGCACTTATTTGGGTTGTGTTCATACTAATCAGTTGGAAAAAATATTTTCCTGACTTAATAAAATACATGAGTGAACAAAGTGACGAAGGTCTATAGTATGTCTCCTCTCAGATTTCATATTTTTTATATACTTTTCTACTCATACAATATAAGCTAACAAACGCTTGAAATGCGAACTTTACACAAATGTTTATTTAGTTACATGTGTGGTAAATTAATTAAATGCATCAATGTTTTTAAAATTACTATTTGTGGTAAGTCTAATAATGTAAACGTGTACCCGCATAATTACTTATTCATTTAACATTTTAAATTCATTTAAACAGGTTTTGAAATTCCACAAATGTTCGTTATGTGACTTTTTAATGTTTCCGAAGTGGGCGCAATGCCTTTATCTACACACTATGCATTACCATTCCTGGCTTTAAATTTAATTAATGAACAAATGATGGCTATTGTTAGGTGAACCTCCCCTAATTAACTAAAAAAGCTGTGCAATGGTAACTTAAAGCCGAACTTACTTGAATTATGTGCAAATGTTTGACGTCCCGCCAGTAAATAAATTCTCTTTTAAATACAGGATGCCTTAAAAACTACGAAAACGGCATTCAAAATATATATATATGTATATATATAAATATAGAAAATATTTTTCTTCGCTTAGGCTTAGCTTAGACCGCATGTAATTCGTAGCAATATGCAATTTATAATTATAAGTAATTATTGATGTGGAGATTATTTTCTTAAAATATTTTCTCACGACACGAACGGGTATTTAGCAATGAATTAAGTAGTACTTGTATATTATATTATATGCGTGTATATTAAATTCGAACTTATTGTACACCTCAATTAAATCGGTTGTGTAATAAATTGAAAACCGCTTTGCGTGTGGATTCATACAAACTTTAAAATAATTTAACGTTATTAAATGGATATCTGCGATTGAAAGATTTGCATTAGCGCTGCATGCATGCGTTAAATAGTATGAATGGAAGAGATTCAATGGAAAATAAGCTTTGTAAGAACATAATTTTAAAAAACTTCAAATACAAAAATACATATGTATAGTATTTGTGTATATTTGTGCATGTGTAAGTCTTTGTTTTTAAATATATTTAATAGTCCGTCATATACATACATATATTGGTATTCTGGAAACCAAAATACAAAACGATTTTTATTGTCGAGTACGTCACAAACACACAATCTCTTACATACTCGTATATAGTATATTTGTGTTCACATATTTGGTGCAAAGTGGAGTTACAGGTATTTCTATATAAAAAGTATATATATAGTATTGGTATATACTTAGTACAGGCATAGTATGGATGATGAATATAATGAATAGTTATTACCTGTGCTAATTTGCTATTTAAGTCTAAAAAGTAGATAGATGCTGATTAAAAATGTCAAGTCCAGCATTACGGACGCAATCATGGCTACTAAAATACATAGCTCTCAAGATTATAAGTTTCTAAGTTCATAATTTTAAATTCACCTTGGCCGCCATTGCACTTATTTGAACAATCTTATTTATGTAGGGTTGGCAGCTCTTGAACCAGCAGATAATCATCGGACTATCGGAGTGGTCAGTCCAGGGTAGTCTAAGAAAGTATATCGTTTTAGCAGTACGAGTTTGGCTTCGGAAGCGAGGAGACGTTGTGAACAAGTTATGAATAAACTTTAATTTAATTTGATTTAATTTGCACATTAATAAATATTGTACTCCATTAATTAAAACGCCGACGTGTGGTGTACTTATTATTAACGGAGTTTCTGGAGCAGATTTTTACTCACTCGTAGGGAACTCACTAAAGATTCTCTACATTTATGTAAATAAGACAATTTTCTTTTATTTTTCCCACCTTTTAGCATGTTGTTTCATTTTGTATTGCTTTATAAGCCATTTTAATAGTGGCATCAGTGGATTCGGCGGCTAATAATGATTTGATTTTACATCAGGAATAATTCTTACATTTGCTTAAAGAATAAGACGAAGCGAGGTGTGTGGGGGTTGTTTGAATTTTTAAAATTTGTGCTCCCATTTCGCCATTTCATAAACACGTTATATGCGTTCACAATTGTGGCATTTGTTGCGGACATTACAATCCAGTTGGTCATATTTACCAAACAATATTTATATAATTTCAATGTCCTTTGAAAATGTTATTAATATTTCATATATAAAATTATATCAATGTTAAGTTTCTAGTTGAATGTAACATGTGTTATGTTTATTACTATTAACGACGAAAGCGACCTGATGTGATTGCAGCCTTAGGCTGCGAGCTCTGTGAAATAATGAGAGATGTGAAATACACAGCTATAATGGGCGGTATCAGTCAATGGCCCGCCAACGACGATTTTCAATAGCTTTTGTTCTTCCAAAACTCCAAGTATTTACATTGCATTGCATAAATATTAATATTAAAAAAAAAAACGTGTGACTTAGATGTACATATAGCCCTGCTATTCATAAATAGATTACCAATAGTCCTTTCCTTTATCCTTTATTTATTTTAAATAATTCAATTAACAAAAATATGTAGGCTTAACAAATTTAGAAAAGTAGTAACTCTAGGCTTAGTTGGCATTACATGTGTACTCAATCCTTGAGTATTTCAGTTTAAATGAAAGTTCAAATGAAACTCACGAATTGGCTTCATATCAATGGGTTACGCTTTTTCTTTCTTCTTTATTTATTCTTAAAATAGTTAAACTGTGCTCTTCATACGAAAAATAAAATCAAAAACCAAATTTGTAAAAAATATGTGACACTTCATTACATAAAAATAAGGAAGTGGCTTTTCTTGTTAACAGCTTAATGTTGAAATGAAATGGCAATTTGCTGAATACTTGTATATGATTCGTCAGATTACTAACCACATACGTGTGAATGCATTAAGTCTTAAAGCATAAAAAAGTTTATCCCCAAAAAAATATTAGTCGAGAACCCAACGCTAATTTTTCATTTTATTTTTAATGTTTCATATTTACTTTATTTCGTATGTTTTATGCCTCATATAAAAAATTTGGACCCTCGCGAGTGTTTGCCTTTGCAGCAGGCCATACATATAAAAAACGCGTTAGCGTTTGACATTCATTTTCTTTAATTTTTATGGTCGCCAAGATGGAGGGCAACCACAGTTGCCAAAAGTTAAAAGCATAATGGAACATAAAAGCTTTTTTGTTAAGTGGAAATTCACTTTGTCTTCATTTTAGCGTGCGGCAATTGTTAGTCAGGTTAATTTTTTACCTAGATTTTCCAGGATATGTGTAAAATGTATAATTTTAATAACATTTTCCCCATGGAAACGCAATGAATTTTAATAAATAAATGAATAACCGTTTTCTAAATGACAAGGCGAAAATTGATGACAACATTTTATATTTACAATTTGTAATGGTCTTTTTTTTACACAAACTTACCCTCCGGCGCATTCGTTTTCTGCTTTCAAAACTAATTAACGCCCTGTGAGAGCCATAAATATGCTTCACGACATGTTCCCACCCATAAATGCTATACATCGGTTAATTAATTCCATTTAAGTTTGACAGTAGCGGGTAGCTGTTAATTAAGTTAATTGACAAATCAAGCCCCCACATACGTATAAGTACATGCGACACTAAATCAGTTAACAACTTAATTAATAAAACGATGAGATTTTAATGGCCCATTGCCAGCTTTAGAGTGAAAAATCTGAGCTCAAATGGTTTTTAATCTAATTTTAGGGAATTGTGAGAAAGACAAACAACGTTCTAAGCAAACACGGTAATGAGAAACATACAACATACGCATTAACAAACCATTTCAAGGTTTAACACTCGACCTTTCAGTAAACCAGCTTTAGTCACGTGTGTTTGGGTCGAAAGTTAGTTGAACTCACCTTTGTATGGAGGCACTGAAACGAAAGCAAGAGAAAACCAAAGGTAAGATGTTGCCGTGAAAATAAGATTAAGATGGGATAAAATTTTAAGTATGCAGGTAATCCTTAAACAATTTTATTAGAGACCAAGTGCTTTGTATCTGGCTGTAGGGAGCGGAGCACGGCTGAAGGAGCACAGAGGTGCTGTCTTAGGAGCCAATTAGGTTAATGGCCTCGAAGGTAGCTAAGTATGTAGCTTATTTAGCTCTGCCCAAGCTGAAATCTCTTTATACATTTTCAAGGCGATGTTTGGTTTTTTACACGAGACTAACTTGTGAAGCTTTAAAGCAGATTACATTTTAAGAGCGGCATATTTAAGCAATAAGAAGTCGCGTTCAGAGAAAAATAATAATAATAATAATGTCTTATTCATGCTCGAAACAAAAGCAGTATGCGAACATTTTCTTTTTCAGTTTTTCTTATACTAACGATAAATTTGAAAG